TTATGAACTCCTTTTATTTCTAGCTTTCTTAAGTTTGTAATTTTTCCGATGGCTTCTGAAGAGGTCCCTATCATTTCTGTTCTTTTTATTCTGTTAGTTCTAGGCATTTCATTTTTACATTCTCTTAAATCTGGAGAGTTAATTTTTGTTCAGAAGCTGGTGTTGGGTATTTTCCTTTTCTTGAAAATGAAAGTTTCTGTTTCATTTCCAGGGATAATTCCTAGTTTGCTATCCATTTCCTATTCAAATAGAAACCAGTTCCCTTGTGAAAAATCTTTAATGGTCTCCTGTTGTTTCTTTCAAGTGGAAGTGTTGTACAGTCTCCTGTTTTTTATTTCTGTTTCTTTAAACATTTGGCCTGTTCTGTCTGCTTTTCTCTTGCCACCTCATTCTTCCCTCTTTTTTGCATCCTGGACCGGCCTCTTTCTGCCTCGGAACCCATTTATTTCCAAAGTTCATCTGTTTTCCTGGGTTCTCAATCTCAGCTTTGGTTTGGTAAACCTCACATGCAAGTGTTAAAGTCAATTCAAGGTAGAATTTAAATGCATATACATGTGTAAACTTGGATAAGGATACTTTCCATAGTTGGGGCCCTATTTGGTAAGAAAATTTGGCCAGGTGCCTCCTCTTGTGTATTGTGGTTGTGACTATTTGGGAGAATTGGAAGAGGAGAGAGAAGCTTGCTCATGTTTTTGTTCTGGCCCTTATGCTGTTGGATCTGTATGGGATGAACGTATATGGTTGTGACTTAAGATAATGCTCCAAAAAATGATGCTGCTGTAAACAAAACTACACTACTTGATTTGTGTGCATTTTTAATGTAGCGGACCTCTGAAAACAGATTTGCTATTATTAGAATAACTGTTTTTTCCTTGTAAAAGCTACAGATCACATGCGCTTCTTTCCTGTGAAATGTTTTATTTTTAGGTCTTAACATATGCAGGTTTTTGCCATGCCTTTTCAAAGAATTTGTATCAATGCCTCAGTGAATGTTTCTGAAAATCTCATTTTGCGGTATTATCTTTTATAGTGTAGATGTTTTTTCACTGTAATTTTTTACATCCTTCGTGTTTCCAGGATTTTTGTTTTCACAATCTTTTATTTTTATACATGCAGATTTTCTTCATAATTAATAGCAGAACTACTACTTAAACTGACAGAGATGGCTTTTAGGATAGATTGGCAGGAAAGCTAAATTACTCTTATTTCATCTCTACAATAGGAAAGGGTTGTATGATTTATGTTGAAACGCATATTATTTTAATGGTGATTGCTCAGTGTCCTATATTGCTTAAATAATTTTCATCATGTTTTACAAGGGTTTCACTATAGCTTTTTGTTTCACTATAGCTTTTTGTTTCACTATAGCTTTTTGTTTCACTATAGCTTTTTGTTTGTTATAAAGTAATGGCTTTTATTAAAATTACACAGTTCTATGCCTCACTGTTACTGAAGACAAAACATTACTCCACCTACGAAGTGATTTCATGAGAGAAGCATATCTTTTGGCATAAGTTTCCAAGACTGTGTATAATTGTTAGGTTGTAGCTTAGTTTGTAATAGCACTGATTGCATTATTGGATCTGCAAGAGTGTTGTGTTTTTAGTGATATTTTTTGTGCAGTGAGCCATAATAATAATGATAAAAAAGTGTAACACAGGATCATTTGTGGGTTTTTCTACTGATAAAATACCAGTAGAAAGGCAGGACATATCCTGCCTGCCAAGTTACTTAGAGTAGGTTTTAAAAATGTCTTTAAATTTCAGACCTGTCATCTGTTTGTAAGCTCTGGGCTCAGTCCTCAGGAGCTGTGTAGGCTGGTGATCCCATGGCATTTCCCTCCCAGCCAGGCTCATTTCAGGAACCAAGAAACCTGTGACAGACCTTGAGAGGTGGAGGAATGCCAGCAGCTCCCCAGCTGTTCCCACCCCTTTTGCCCTCAAATTAGGGACCAAGCAGGAGGACAAAACAGATGGACCTCTTTAGGAATCACTCTCTTGGCCTACTTTGGAAGTAAACACAACTTGGACGACCTGGATATGTCTATCAGAGGGGTGGTGGGTGAGAGAAGAGCAGCTGGCTCATTACCAGTGACCCCAGAGCTGGATAACCCCCAGGAGAAACAGGACCCTGCCAGGGTGCAGGCAGAGCAGCCCAGGTCAGGTTAGAAGGGTGCTTGGCCAATTGTCTTGTCCCAGTGGCCCAAGACAGGTGCTGATGGAAGCAGAAGAGCTGAACAAGCACATATGAGGCTTCCCTAAAGTCCTTTTCCAGGACTCCAAGACTTTCTGAGTCAAGTACAATTTCTGTGCATTTGGCAGCCCCCTCAGTTATGTCTATTAACTTGTCCATTCCCAGCTTGAACCAGTACAGACCTCCAGCATCTGTGCTTTCTTGTGGCAAGCAGTTCCACATTGTAACCAGGGACTATGTCAGAAAAGGCATCTTTTTATTAGCTTTGAGCTTACTGGCCTCTTCTGTTACCTCCTAGATCTTGCATTGTACAAGGCTGAGAATGATCAATGTCTTTATTTTCTCATGCCAGACACAATTTCCCAATCTTTGAGAACATAGCATATGATCTTCCATAACACAAAAACATTAACAGCAGTATCTTTTAAAAAGCAATAATTTTGTCAGATCCACATTAGAAGACCCTGGGCTTCTCTTTGTCATCCCTCCAAATACAACTGTAAACTCCCTCTGAGTTAAGCGTTTGATCTCTGTCTTTTGTGTTATATACTTTCATATTTTACATTTTATAATCTTTTGCATCTTCCTTGGCACAAAAACCTTTGTCATCATCAGATAAGGAGGATGACCTTAGTTTAACTGAGTCACCCAGAAATAGCTGAGAGTGGAAATACAGCCCTAAGCTGTAGAGTTGTCTTTAGTAAACCCACAAGCGTAGCCTTCTGCTGGAAAGAAAGTGTAGTGAATGCAGAGAAACTATGTATCTAACTTCATCAAGCTAAACTAATCAAGCTAAGCAAGATAGTACATTTTAAGAGAGCATCTGTCTAGATTTCTAAATGTGGTAAAGCCCTACAGACTAGATAGAAGTCTTTGAGCTTCCCTCAGGTGGATGAGTATCCTAAATATTTAATATTTACTTCTAAGAGGAATTAAAGGATTGTAGTCAGTAACTGAAACAACAGCATTTCTTTTAGGTTCTCCTCAATAATGGGTTCGTCACAGGCTGCTGTGCAAAGCATCAGTATAGGTATATAGGCCTGACCAGAATCAAGGGAGTCCTAGAGGCCCAATCTAGGGGCAACTGGTCACGCAGTTTCTGCAGTGGCTGAAGGAGTTGGTTGTCCTTTCTTCCTTTCCTATTGACAGGTGCTCAGGTACTTTCCCTCCCTTGCATCTGCTCTGGAGCTTATTGTACCTCTTCAGTTACCTAATGCAGCAAAAACATGGGTTTGTTGAACCCTTCTGAGTGTACTTTGATGAGTGCCGGTACTGACACCAAGAGTATTTTGATGAGTGTTAGTTCTGACACCGAGAATATTTTGATGAGTGCTCGTGCTGACACAAGGTAGGTTCAATGCTTGCTGCTGAGGGGGTACCGAGACCTCCTGCTTTCAGCAGCAACCAGCTGTGAACTCGCTGTGACTGAGGGGACCCCACCTCCATTGACAATTGTCCTATGGGTGCTCCCATTTAGAAATTTATTAGCGTTCCTCTTTTTTATTGCCTCTTTTTCTTGGACTTAGATACAAAGTCTTTTTTTTTAACATCCAGTTTCCACTGACTCATTGTCAGTCCCTGTACATTTGAGGTCCTGCCAGCATCTTCTATAGCCTAATTAACTACCTTTACACCTCTGTTGCCTGGGCGAAGCTCTGGAAAGCTGAGTGGCTGCTGCCCCGGTGCTGCTCTGCTCTCCTTCCCCTCCCACAGCAGGTCAGCTCACCTCTACCCTTGGTATTTTGCTGTTTGGAGAAGAAATATTCAGTTTTGCCTCTTCTGCCAAGAAGGTCTGTGCTCTTTGCCTCCTGTCCTGTCAGTCAGTGTGCCTGTTGAGTTTTATTTTCCGGTTCTTCATCTTTTCTAATTTAATCACCTCTTAGGTGGGACAATATAAAATCTTTATACAGATTTCATGTAGGTTAAAATTTTGAGATCTTTGGAAGCGTTTAGTAGATTTTGTGATGTAATTTGCTTGTCTAGAGAACAGCTTACGAGGGAGAGAATCTGACTGGTTCAGACACTGCAAATGTCTTGGTAAATACCGCATGCATTTAACTTATATACATTTGCTTCAAGTCTGATTTTTTTTTTTCTTGAGTGTTTGTTTCAAAGCCTTGTGCACTTTTGAGGCTGGGTTTGCTGTTGCCCAGAGCATTTTCCTCTGATGTTGCTAAAGCCCCCAGGTTCCTGGGTAGAGCAAGTATGAGGGACAGGCCCTGGCGATGGCCTGCTCTGAGAGCTCGAGGGCAGCGTGGCTGCCTGTCCCAGGCAGGACTGGCCATGGGCCTATGGTGTGGTGCAGCTCCTACAGCTGATGGCTTTGCCTACCTATTTAGTGTGTTCCTGAGCTTACAATATTGGTGTTACAAGGTCATTTCAATACTGTGCTGTTGTGTCCTTAGGAGTCTGCTGGCTTTTTTCCTTAGATGCAGCCTACTGCAGGAGTGACTCCAACTGGTTTCTCATCCTTCTGCTTATTTTCTTATTTTTTTTTTTAAAGTTCACCTAACTTCCTTACTGTTCACTTTTTGTGGAAAATAGAAGTCTCTTGAATTAAAATAATTATCAGTGGCTGGTTTTGAAACTCCATCAGTTTTTCTTGTCCCACCTTCTGGTATTAGAAATCAATGTATCCCATGCACTGTGTAACTCCATTGGAGGTGGTTGTTTCAGTGATTTTTATGAACATTTTAGGAAAAGTATCCTGCAGGTTTTGCCCTTTTCAAATGTAAATGTTTCATCAGAGCTAAGAGGGCGTGCAAGAACGTATGTGCAAGGCTTATGATTCTCTTTTCTTCTTGCAGTGACCTGTTGTCTTCTGAATATCTTGAGAGACATATCGAACAAGGTGGGAAGACAGTGGAAGTTAAAGTAAGAATTTACTTTCAATGCTTTGCTCTTTTAATTTGCTTTGCTTTCTATGTTAATGCAGACTCAACTATTTTCTTGAAAGGTGAAATACCTGGTTTTTCAGGAGACTTTTTTTTTTTTTTACTTTTCTGAGGCAAGCATGTTATATGTCTTTTAACTTTTCAGCTTTTTAAATATGACAAATTAACTTTACTGGCAAATTTAGTACATTAATGTTTATATCAAGATGGTATCCATGAAAAACGCATACATGCTAGTTCTTTTTGCTAGTAAATATAATTTACCTTTGATGCCTAAAGAAGAAAATCTTTTTGGTTTGGTAGCTAGCAGTTCCTTATTGTACTAAACCTCAAATTTGTTGGTTTTAATAAGCTTCTTTGTAAGTTTGAGAATAGCAAGATTTCCTGTATAATTTTTCCAAATAGCTAGTCAATATCTGAAATTGTGGGTTTCTTTCTCTGGATGTTGGTTTACATGATGACTTAAAGATCCTGTTTCTTGCAGTTGGTTTCTGTGAAATGTGCCACTGTCTTTGCAGGAGTGTTTTTTAATTTACATACGACCTGAGAGAACTTCCTTGAGAACCTTCTGTTTATTAGGATAGTACTGTATATCCGCCTGGTATAAAATTGCTGTAGATTACATAAAATGTGCGTGAATGTAGTATATGCTGTCCATAATGGAAGCTTTTGAAATTTGCCTATCAGGTCAAATTTAGTTCAAAGTTTACATTTCAATTAACAAAATCTCAAAAGTCTTTTACTAAATCTAAGATTACCTAAATATCCTGAAACAAATTATTTAACCTCTGCAATGTGAAAGCAGAAGTAGAAATGGACAAAGCAATCCTTTAGCCACTGAGTCGCTGAAGATACGTGTTTCCTTTGGTTTATCCCTTTCTAGCACTTACAAGCTTGAAATCTACTTTCTTTTTACTCCCTGATAATAGTCTGCATACATTATCAGGCTAAGGCAAACACATACGTGTTCCATTAAATTGTAAAGACTAATTTCTCAGTCAGCCGTGCTCTGCATTCAGGAAGTCTTGACTCAGATTCAGAATATGAGTCAAAGCAGAAATAAAGATAATAGCTGATACTAGTAAGAACAAAACAATCCATTTGTCTGTGTCAAGGTATATATGCAAGTTAGCTCAGTTAATCTATCTGAGTCCCATCACTGAATCAGGACAAATCTCTTTCTGATGAGTAAGCCTTAATCAAGCAAAGAAGTATTTGAAATCAGTGTCTGTTCTCATGTTTAATTGCATGGGGAAGAGACAGGAGGATCGAGGCTTTCAGAGGAAGGGTGATAAAAGACTTTCTGTCCAAAACGTCTCACAGTTTCCAGAGTCCCAGAGATTATTTCCCTTTCAGTTAGCCACTGTGCAGGATCATGGCATACCTTCAGGGATGGCTATCACTGCCTCACTTAGTACTGTGAAACCTACTTTAGGTAGAGAACTGGTGGTGTTGTGTTAGCCTTAGTGCTCGAGATGGGCTGTATTCAGGGTGAAAGGGTTGCTGGGCTGCACCTTGCTGTGCAAAGGAGGGGCATTGCTGCCCGGGTTGTGTTTCCCTCTCCACTCTTCATTGCACCTCGGAAGGGTGGCTGGCATGTGGGAAGGCTCTTCTGCCCCCTCCTAACTCACTGCTCCAGATGTTTGGCAGGCAGCAGTCCCTCAGAAGCGTGCCAGGAAAGGGGAATGTATATTTTTTTGCTCATTTTTCTGCAACTGAGTGTCCAGGATTGGAGAAAAGGGAAGCAGCTGCTGTGACAAAATGTCCAGAAGAGCCTGTTGGCCACAGTCACGGGCACATTTTCAAAGAAGTTCAGAGATCAAAAGATCTTTGGAAGAGTGCAGGCTGACTAGTGCATTTGGCTGCCAGTCACTGAGTGAGGCTAATTTCAGTACCCAATAGCTGTTTAAAAATAAATGTCTCCCTCTGACCAGCCAGTAATTTTCAGAGCACCTGTAAGTGCCCTAGAGAGCCCTGTTTGTCTGTCGAACAATTTCTGAAAAGACCAGCAGTATCTGTTTTGCATTTGAGAAACTGAACTCTGTTTTTACATCAAATGTTTTGAAAATCTTACTGCAAATATAAGAATTTTCTGTGATGGTGATTTAGTATCTTCAGTTTCTGTGGAAACTGTTTACCGTAACTGGTTAAAGCACCTTTAAATTGGTACTTATAATACACACCAGGCAAAACATAATTATTATACTAGATTTTGGGGATTGTGCAGATTGCTTAGGTACTAATTTAAAAATCGTAGAAGGGCACAACTTATAAATAAATCACAAAATATGAACTCTGCTGTGCAGCACATTCTTAAGCAGAAGCAGGAGAAGAGGTATTTCAGAGAGGAGCCAGGTTCCTATCAGGTGCTTTGATGGGCTGTGCTTTAACCACCTCCTTGTGATTTGTCTTTGGCTGTAGGCAGAAACGGAGGCAGCCTGGAAACATCTTTTGCTGCTTTGGTGGGAGAAACAGTGGCAGAAAGTAAAAGTCTGTCTGCCATTCGCTGCTAACTGCAGGGTTCGAGTTTATATGCAAAAGGGCCTCCTCTGTTCTTGGCCTTCTTAGTGCCATAAGGAGAGGTGTATTTTAAAATACACACGTATTTCTGCCTTGCATTTCTCAGTGTAGGAATACTGCACAAACACACAAGTTGTCAGTGCTGCTGTTGTGCCATCAGCAATATGGGAGAAAACAGGAGCTTTGAGTTGCTGTGGGAAGGCAGCTGTATGTATGCTCAGCAGTTTGGGAAAGTTACAGGCACGAATGTGTCCAGGAAGCAGATGCTGGCCTTGGCTGATACACGATGTGGAGTTGATAACTGCTTTTGCCACTCCTCCCCACTCCATGCCCCCCTCAGTAAAACTTCCAGTGCTGCAAAATGCATACAGATCTTCTGGCATTGCTTAGGATGCTTCAGAGAGGAGAGGGAGGCACGGAAAGGGGGAAATATTCAGGTCATTTAAAAACACCACTTAGAAGGAGCAAAGGGGTTTTTGTAGGGAGGAGAGTCCTCAGTTTAACACACATTTTTATTGTAGGAGAAAGTTGAATTGCATTTGATTGCTGCATAATTCATTAGTACTCTGGACCGCTGTGAAGGTGGAACATGTTATGCATGTTTTTTGCAGGTTACCAGCATTTGGCAGCTGCAGAAGAAAGGCTTCCCCGTGAGATGCCCTCGTTTATTTGGCACAGCTAGGCAGCACCTAAGACATTCTTATTAAACCAGCAGTAATGTGCAGTGCTTAAGAAAAACAAAAGAAGGTAGATCTTTGAATTCTTTCAGTGTTGCCTCCCCACACCCTCTTTTACTTTAGATCGTGTCTTTAACTGCTAGGAAAGGAGTGATATTGGCCTAAATTTCCTCTGGTAGCAAAGAGAATAATCAATTAATAAGAGAAAAACCCTTCATGCATTGCCTTTTCCTGATTGTGTCAGTCCAGATCATCCTGTGCTCACAGCACGTAAATACTCAACTTGTGTATACTTTATGGTGCTGCAGTGCATCTCTGTGTCGTTTTATCTCTCTCTTTTCACTTATCATTCTGTCCCTGATGCTGTCAGTGAGATGAAAGCCAAAAACCAGCTGTAATGCTGAGTAATTCACAGTGCTGGATTTTTCTCCCTCAGAAGGAACAACTGATACCTATTCAGCGATGTTTTCTCATATAAAATGTTTCTGTTTTCCTGTTTGGAGAGTGGAGAAATAAATATTTCTGCCTGTATTCCCCCCAAACATTGGACAATTCTATGAGTTCTTAGAAAATTGCTTTCTGAAAAAAATGAAACAATGAAAATAATTCAGATCCCAGTCAGAGAACTTGCAGTTGTAGTAGATAAATGCCATGAATTTTTGATGCATGTTTAAATATAGCTAGAAGGAACTGTATTTCATAGGCAATCCTAAAATTAAGCATGGTGGTGTAAACACAGTATGTGTATTATGGGCACAAAATTACAGCAAGAGTGCTCACAGTGTAAAAGAACATTGCTTTTTGCTTCTCCTTCACAGCATGTTCATGAGCATGGTAGCATCAAGCAACACAAATGCAGTAATATTAAATGCTAGGTACTGCTTTTCTCCATTGTAATGTTGATGGAGAAGCTTTGACCAAACTTGCCTTGTGCCTTAATATTTGACGTGGCCTCATGCTCTGTGGTGGCTCTAGCAGAGGCGCCGTTGTTGCAGTTTGGGGAATGAGGGTTGTGGGGCAAATGTGTTTGAATGGTGCACAGCAAAGCAGAGCCCTTAGTTTGCAGAAATAGTAATTATTTCCTTTTTTAATGTGCATTGTTTGGCTAATAGCATGTGCAAAATACCTGGTACTGTAACTTAGGGCTATTTTAATCCCTGTGCACAAGAGGGGAAAATTATTGTTCTTCATTGCCTTGCTGTGATTAAAGTCTTGGCTTGTGTATGTCATGATATGTGTTTGAAGGGCTCTTTAAATGCCCTTTTTTAAGGAAGATAATATAGAAGGGAGAAAAGTATTAAAATCTTGAGAGGCCAGAGAAGACTGGGGACCCTTGAACATGATGGGTACTGCTTTTTCTGTTAAACTCCCTCCTTCAAATCTGGTCTGCTCAAGAAGTTGTTAAGGTACAGTCCCTTGACTGAGGGCAATGTCTGTCACATCTTAGTGCCTATGTTTGATGAGACCCTATTCTAAGTCGTATTCCAGCATTTCGCTGCATTGCCACAGGTACAAACTGATATAAGGCTACAATAATTTGCAGTGCAGCCAGAATAAACACCCAATCAGTGAGCAGGTCATTTTTATCACTGACTGGTATGTTTCCAATCTTCTAGCAAGGTGCTTCCACCAGCATCTTCCAGTTTTAAGGGCATCTGCTGAGCACCATAGAAGAATCTCTTGATTTTTCTTCAGCTTTTGGTAACTCACTGTTTTGTAATATAAAGGTTACAAAAGGTATGTCAACTTGCTAGAAAAACCCAGATGCTAAACAGGCTTTCCT